TTGGAATTTTGGGGGGATTTTTTGGGAATTTTTCTGGAATTTTTCAGGAATTTTGGGGGATTTTTTCCGGGATTTTTTTTGTCTGGGAATTTTTTGGGGGTTTTTGTTCTGTGATATTTTTGGGTTTTTTCCGTGATTTTTTGGGGGGGACTTTTTGGGAATTTTGAGAGAATTTTGGGAGAATTTTTCAGGATATTTTTGGGGGATTTTTCCAGGAATTTTTCCAGGGATTTTTTGGGGGGTTTTTTCCGTGATTTTTTTGGGTTTTTCTCCGTAACTTTTTTTGATTTTTCGGGATTTTGGGGGGATTTTTTTTGGAATTTTGGGAGAATTTTTCGGGAATTTTGGGAGAATTTTTTGGGAATTTTGGGGGGATTTTTTGGGAATTTTGGGAGATTTTTTTGAGAATTTTGGGAGAATTTTTCGGGAATTTTGGGAGAATTTTTTGGGAATTTTGGGAGAATTTTTTGGGAATTTTGGGAGAATTTTTTGGGAATTTTGGGAGAATTTTTCGGGAATTTTGGGGGGAATTTTTTTGGAATTTTGGGAGAATTTTTTGGGAATTTTGGGAGAATTTTTCGGGAATTTTGGGAGAATTTTTCGGGAATTTTGGGGGGATTTTTTTGGAATTTTTCTGGAATTTTTCAGGAATTTTGGGGGATTTTTCTCCGTAACTTTTTTTGATTTTTCGGGATTTTGGGGGGGATTTTTCCCGGGATTTCTTTGGGAATTTTTCCCACGATTTTCCGGGATATTCCCATTTTTCTTTCCCTTCCATCCCATCAGGATCTGGCGCAGGAGGAGCCGCTGCCGTTCTACAACCGCTGCGCGCTGCTGGCGCTCGGAGCCGCCTTCCTGGCGCTGCTGGGAACCCTCCTGGGGAACCCCGGCCTCCGGCTCCACGTCCAGGAGGTGCCAAATTCCCGGGAAAACCCCGGAATTCCCAAAAATCCGGGGAAATTGGGAAAATCTGGGAATTCTGGGGGGGTTTTGGGGGATTTTTAAGGGGATTTTAGCGGTTTTTTAAGGAGTTTTTAAGGAGGGATTTGGGATTTTAAGGGGGGATTTTTGGGGGGATTTTTGGGATTTGGGATTTTTTTGGGGATTATTTTGGGGAGGATTAGGGATTTTTTGGGGTTTAGGATTTTTTGGGGATTTTTTGGGGATTTTTTGGCATTTTTGGGGGATTTTTTGGGGGATTTTTAGGGGATTTTTTGGCATTTTGGGGGGATTTTTTGGGGATTTCTTTGGGGATTTTTAGGGGATTTTTTGCCATTTTAGGGATTTTTTTGGATTTTTTGGGGGATTTGGATTTTTGGGGATTTTTGAGGATTTTTAGGGGGATTTGGGATTTTTGGGATTTTTTTTGGATTTTTGGGGGATTTTTGGGGGGATTTTTTTGGATTTTTGGGGGGATTTGG